TCCCCTGCAGATCAGCAGGAAGCTTAGCAAGAAGGAATAAATAACGGGGCAAATTACAGGATCGTCACTGTCTCTTCCAGGGTACTTGGCCTATCAAATCATCTGGGTAAGAGTGCGAGTGAGTGTCCTGTCTTTGGAAGGCGGATGCCCGCTGCTGTTAGCACTTGGGGAACACTACGAAAACCAAGCAGGATCCAAATGCTGACAGGTGGTTCTAGTGGTGTTTGGTTTTGATTTGTCAGGAGACCCAACTAAGCAGTCCTAAGGCAATGGGGAAGTGGCAAAGTGCCACTGGAAGTATGCCCGCTGTGACTCAAGGTCCATGAGCTGGGAGTGATGGTGACATTTGCCTTACCCTGCCACCCTGAACCTGCAGCAGTGTCTTTACACCTGGTCATGTTCTTCAGGTTTAGGCTGGAATCGAGCTCTCCTTTGTCACAAGGGAGTCTTGGGAAGGACAAGCAAAGGCAGAAAGCAGGTCTTGCGTATTGGGACTCAGATATTGCAGGCTGGTGAGTGTCCGACCAGAAATCTGTTGAGGCTGAGCCTGATGGCTTGTGGGCCGTGACAGCCCTGATGGGATGTGATGGGATGGGACAGTCCCTGAAAATGGTGGCATTTGGGGGAGACGTTCCATGTCACGCTACAGAAACAGACTGCCAGTTTGCGCCTTCTTTCTCAGGGATGCTCTTAAATGAACAGTTGGAAAAAACAACTTCTTGTAGGGTCTCTGAAGAGAGAAGTAGCTAGACCTCTGGCTTGGTTTTGTGAAGCTACTGGAAGCTGAGAAGAGATGGAGCGGGGGATGCAGCTCCATCCTTTTTTTTGTCGTGTAGGAGCACAAGAAACTCGGAACATTAGACCTTGTCACACAGGACAGTAATACATACAGGATTAAAAAAGAAAAAAAAAAAGTGACGTGTGTATGTGCTTACTGATGTACTCCAAGGGGAATGTTACTGGATGTCATAACAAACTGCATCTTTAGATTATTATTATTTTTTTTAACAGCAGCACCATCAGTACTTATTAACTTAGTAGTTTGACTCAGCTAATGCTTTCAGGACCTATTAAGAACACATGTATTACTATGGGAATATACAAGAAGGTACTTGTTTAAACAACACTTTTTATTTCAGGCTCCTTTCACTTTGAATTAAGTATAAATGAATGCTAAAAGATGACATTTCATACCACATGAGGCTGACGACACAAATCCTGTCTCAGGGTGGTTTTTATTCCACATACTTTTTGATTACAGCTTTTACAGTTCCAAGACTCCTGTCAGAGCTTTGATGTGGGGAAACCTGCTGCGTTGTCATCTCTGGATACTAAAAGTGAATCACAGCGAATGCAGGTTGGTGCTGAACACCTATTAGTAAGCAGCAGGCAAAGACTACTTGGAAATAAACAAACAAAAACATCAACAAATTTGATAACCCCCCCCCCCCCCCCCCCCCCCCCCCCCCCCCCCCCCCAACCCCCCCCCCCCC